ATTCCTGTGCAGGACAAGAAAGAAACTCCAACCTTATGTAAAGGCAGAATGAAAATACATTAATAAAGGCAAAGATTACCCATGACAAGGCTAGAGAAACATGCCTATTTTTGATAGCTGCTCTGTAGCTCTCCTTGGCTTTGCCTTAACATCTCAGAAGTGTCAAAGCTCTGCAGTCTAACTGTCCTACTAAAATGAATGTAATCTTCAATTCCACTGTGTGCTCATGGGTGGTATTGTCATAGAGGCACTGCAAAGCACAAAATCTCTTCCATGCATGGAGCATTCCCAAAAAGTATTTCAGCCTCACACTGGCAGGTTGTCGACAACTCACACAGATTATGTTTCTTCATACCCCTTTCAGTGCAGAGCTGCATATTTAACAAGCTCACGTCCTTTCCAAAAAGTGGCAGATCTGAAACTGAACTTCCATATCACAAAAATACCACTTGGCTATTCTGGAAGCAGTGTTTTGAGATTTTTTTTGTCTGGGACATATTACCAGAAATTATGCCAAGTCTTTATATGAACAAGACTGTTAATGCTATTTCACGGATGTTGGCAGTGAAATCCAAGGCAGGCATTTCCCTAATCAAAGGCCAACTTCTATATACCTACCATGTCAGAAGCTGGTCACTACAACTGGACAGAGTTGATGAAATTACAGTTTCCTCTGGAAAATTATAGAATCATAGAATGGTTTGGATTGGAAGGGGCCTTAAAGATCATCTAGTTCCAATCCTCATGCTATGAACACCAGATCAGGTATACAGAAATCCATCCATCCTGGCTGTAAACATTTCCAGGGATGGGGCATCAATAGGTTCTCTGGCGAACTTGTTCTAGTGCTTCACCACTCTCACAGTTATGGATTTTCCCCTAATATTCAATCTAAACATCCTCTCAGTTTGAAGCAATTCCCTCTTGTCCTATGACTACATGCTCCTCCAGAAAGTAGTTCTCCATCTTTCTTGTAGGTCCCCTTCAGGTACTGGAAGACCATAATTAGGTCACCCCTAAGCCAACTCTTTTCCAGGCTGAACCAACACAATTCTCTCAACCTTTCCTCTTAGGAGAGGTGCTTCATCCCTCTAAAACCTTGGTGGCTCTCCTCTGGACTTGCTCCAACAGGTCAGTGTCCTTTCCGTGCTGGGGACCCCAGAGTTGGATGCAGCACTCCATATGGGGTCTCATGAGAGTAAAGTAGAGGGGCAGAATCACCTCCCTCGACCTGGTGGCAGATGTAATCAAGGAACTCATTTCAGGCTCAGATAAATTGAAAATTCCTATTCTTGGTGCTTCTATGGTACTCTACCTCATGGTTTTTTTTTCTTCAGTGATAGAACGCTCATTCTAGCCCAATAAACTGGTACCATCCTGGAAAATGTGCTCCTGGCACTTTGGTTGTGCATATACACTCAGGTCCTCCAGCATCCATGAGCTGTGGCAAGACTTGCCATTTGCCTGACTCTTCCAGGACATCTAGGACTCAGTGCTGGAGGATGGCAGAGGGGTTTTGCTCTTTTGTAATTCATTGACTTTCCACTGCAGTTTTCCCAGTATTAGAAACCAGCTTTTTTGGGTGTGTTCATGTCTAGCTCATGACTGGTTTTGTGGTACATTACTTTCAATATCTTTCGTCTTGAGATCTGCAGTGTAGCAAGCTGAATCTCTTGAGTGCTGGAAAAACTGTATAGTGTCTTGCTGTGAATCCTACACAGCAGCTAACAGTACTTTGAAACTTTTGTTTATTGTGCCTATTCAGAGCAAATTAGTATACTTTGAAGAGGTAAGGTGGAATGGATGATTCCTAACGCTACTGAACATTATTAGTTTTTGTTTGGTTAACACCACTTCCTAATGTGCAGCTCTAAAACTTTTCACAGGACCTTTAAAATACAATCAATTTTCCTTGTCTATTTCCTAATAATTCAAACTGAGTGCAGAACCTGACATGCAATCAGGCTAATACAGGTCGATATCCATTTTCTTTCAGTTAAATAGGAATTTTAACACAGTGATACCAACCATGGAATCACAAATAGCTAGTGTATATCTATCTATCTGTCTGTTTGCTCAACATGCACAGTGAGGACACGACTCAGATACCTGTAGTCATAGCGAGTGAAACTCACCAATATAGCTCATTAGGTAAAACAAAGAATATCACCACTCATTAAGCCAAAACCAGTCTGAGGAGCATTCAACCTCAAATACATAATTTATATTTACATTTCATTTACTAAGATAAAACTCTTTACAAATTTGGTGTCTGATCTCACTCGGGGAAATGGGTATGATAAGGTATTCTTCTCTAGCCAGAAGATTTAAAACAGAACTTGTGAGATGAAAAACAACTCCAGGCATCCCTACTCTTCTCTGTGCTGCTTTAGGTTACATAAAACAGCCACAAAAAAGCCTGAAAAAAATTATTCAGTTGTCTCCAAAAGGATCTTCTGCTCTGTTTTGAGCACCACACAGTAATGAAAGCTGATGGCTGGAATCTGCAGAACAATTCTGCACACAACAGAAATTGCCACAAAGGCTTAGTATACCATGAGGGAAGGAACTGTCAGAAGCTTGCCTAAAGACCACAGCTAGCTATTTGTGAGTAGAAGTGTGAGATGTCCAGGACTTAATTCTACATGTCATCCAAAAAATGCCACATTCCCCCCAGATGGCATAACAAATTATTCATGCATAAACTTAATTACCCATATGACATTTATCACAAACTTCTATCTGCATTGGCTGGTTATGATAGTCTGAAGTCCGAGCTTTTAATGTTGCTCTGATGCAGTCATTAAAACAAATTAGGGACAGATAAAATTAATAATTGCTTCATCTTTTTGCAGCTAAAATAGTTTTCGCTTTGGTAACTATTTCAAGGCTGAGTGACCAAGATTTTGCTGATGCATTGCTCCACAGAGGTGTAATTTTCTACCTGAAAATGACTGACTTAATTTTGCTGGATCACAGTTTACAGGATACAACTAAAATGATTAAGTTCAATTTGTTGCTTGGTCTCAGTATATCATTTGCTTGTGTTTGGAAAGAAGATGAGTGCTGGTGAGTGAAAAGGATGAAAAGATGCATAGCAGAACAACATTACTGAGATGAACAGTTGACTATATATAACACTCACAAATACAGTTGCACAGAGAACAAAGAATCCAGAAAAATGGAACTGGGCAAGGATTTCCATTAGACCAGGATATGCTTTATTTTCCTACACTCTCCTGACTCCCTTTCTTCCTATTTCACTGAAAATCAATGCAGGATTATTGACAAAATAAGACAACTTTCACTAAATATTTCTTTCAAGTGGTCCTTGAGGATGTTTTCCTCTATGACCTTTTTTAATACTTTTTTTTTGAGGTTTGAAATATGAATTAATAAAGGTGAAAGGGAAAGAGATCTAGTCATAAAATAACATGAAAACCCTTCTTATTCTACATGGAGGAAAATTTAAGGTGCAAAGAGAGGCACAAAGAACTACCCTTTATTAATAGAAGATCTTTGGTGAAACTCCACAGATTTCTGTGGCTTGGTGACCTGTGCTGGCTGCATTAACATTCTGATGAACTGGCCTCAGTGAACATCAATATTACAAACAACTCTATGCATCTGGATTGTTTGCAGACTCAGTACATGAGTTAAGGACTTCAAAATTCATAGCAGGTGGGTGAAGGAGCTATGACGAAGTTATATATAAAGAAATAACGTACTGAACACTGACAGGTGTTGTTTCTGGGGATATTAAACCAAAACCTATGAAAATCTAATCAGACAACCCATAGTTGTCTGGAAGAGAGTGATATCTAACCTAAGAGCTATGAACCCTACTAAAATTTAACACCTGAGAAAGATAAAATCTTTATTTGCTCATGACCCATGCTCATTTGATCCTTCCAAAAATACATGATCCATTTCTTCACCTAATAGGAATGAAGGCAAGGCTTTGACTTACACCTCTACTAGTAACTTAATGATTTTCATGTAACCTACCTTACCAGGGTAGCTGGCACAGCTGACTAAGCATGCACAGAACAATCCCAGATTCAGGCCAGGGCTGATTTGTGAGAACAGAGTGAGCCTGCAGTAGTTACAGTGTATGTCAGATTCTGCCCATTTTCTTCATTAAAAATATTGACATGTGTGTGAATTTACTATGCTTGAAAGATTTAGATTCCTCCCTATTGGTCTTGCATGGATGGAGTTATTTAAATATAAAAGCACTTATTTAAATATACATTTACCTACCACTGGCTGCATCATGGCACAAGAACTATGCTGGAAACATAATAAAACATTAGTGTTTAAACAACCTTTCTCACTCCTGAGATGTGAAGGTTAGGGAGAGAGACAGGCATGGAGCTTCCCAGTGTATGAGAAACTGATTGCATCTCTCCCTTTTCCAGAAGATTCATGACAATATACCTAATGCATTCAAACAAACTGGAAACATGACGGATTCATACACATGCACAAGAACTACTTCTGCAAAACAGAATGCAAGAAGAAGGAACAGAGTCAAAGAACCATGGAATCATAGAACAGCTCAGGATGAAATGGACCTCGAAACATCCCCTGATTCACCTGGGAAAGGTAGCATGGCACTTGAACAGCAAGACCGTAAACTCTTTCCCTTTATCACACTCACAGCACACAGACACAATTAAGGGAACAGCTACCCTTATTTGCCATGATTTCCAAGGTGCACCTGTGAGGAGCACATTATTTACCATGAGTAATTTGACCCTTAGCCATATACAGCACATAGGGTATGATTCTATTGATCTAGATCTGACGTTTTCTACATCCTCTTTCATTGTGTTTATTTATTGTTGAAAACAAACAGGGTCTGTCTTAGTGAAATTTTTCTGCTTCTTTACTGTTTTTCTCTCTCTTGCTTTCATTGCTGTTATAATACAAATACCTTTTTTCCCAGTTTCTGAATCAAAACCGAAGTTTTGTACTACACTCAACACAGCTTGCACAGAGAATAAGACTGACTGTCACCCATGGTTTGGGTCATCGGAAGGATAACATTTATTGAAAGAGCTCTGTGAATTTTACCCATGGAAATAGTGAGGGGGGAAAGTTTAAAAGAGTTTAATTAATTTGCATCCCTAAAGGTGAGTTGTTAGCACTATTGAGAATTAGAGAGTTAATGTGATTGTGAAAGCTACATAGGATGATTTGGTGTGTCATATTGAATTATGGCAGCCTGTGTCCATGTCAAACAATGTATCTCTGAGGGGAGGATGTGGAAAGTCAAGGATAATTTCTAGAGGTGCCACCAATATCCCTGAAGTTCCTACTTCAGTGTTTGTTCAATACTCAAAGCAGATATGCAACTGAGAAGGAACAATTTGGAGTCAAAACATTCAGGGACCCTGAAACCACAGAAAACTTATGTAAAGTGTTAGAGGAGAGATAGTGGAGACACCTCCACCACAAGTTTTTAATGTTTTAAAAAGCTGTTAAAATTATATTTTACATTGCATAAAAGGTAGAAGATCAGTGCTGAGACAGATCAGCTACAGCTTCAATGACTGAGACAAATCTCTACAGCTAGGCAAGCTTTTTGCAAAGAATTTCTGGCTATTGAATATCCTGAAAACTATATATAGAGCATGAGTTGTCACCCTCCCAGACATTATTGTGGAGTCAACAGGCTCTTTTAAACAGACAGTTTTTTGAGGATAGATACATTTAATGATCTCAGTTGAAAAATGAACTTAAAAAGAAATAAGCACCCAAAATTCAGTATGCGGAAAAGAGCAGCAAATTATTCTTGCCACTGTGACATGCATGATGGATTGTTAAGGATCTAATAACTGTTCTGTCTATTGTCATAAAGATTTAACCAGAAGTCCTCCTTCCTGTCCTCTGAGAACAGCCTGTGTTTTGTGTTACTGTCATATTCGGAAAGACCCATCTGAGGGGTCCACCTGTTTGAGAACCATATCTGCTGGCAAGGTAGAACAGTTCTTTAATAATTCTAGTCTTGCATTTACATTGTCCATGGATAACCTGAGAACCTAGCATTTTGCAAGAGTTCAGCAGGCAATCTGGACTGGGCTGCAGTACGCTAAAGGACATGTGTACAAGTTGCATCAGGAGAAAAAGTAGTCATCTTGTCTGTCAACTGCACAGATAATTGTGCACTCACTTTCAAATCACAAACACAAAGTTGGAAGAAGGAATTCTCTTTGATTTTATTCAATATATACAAGTGTTTGACATGACCCACTGGTAGACCTGTGAGATTCATCCAATTTTACTTTGGCCTGAAAGAGTAACTCAAGTGATGAAATAGTTTGATCATAAGGGTGTTAAAAAATATGCCTGCACATTACCTTAATTTTATTTTACCTACTGTTGTTTACTGTCAGCTGTCTTGCAACCTCTAGTATGATCTATTCTGCTCCAAAAGGACAGAGATGATATAGACTACCATCATTATGCTGAGCTCAGCAGCTTAAATTCACTGGGTCTGCAGTAATCTTCAGCAGTGAAAGCTTTAGTATTCTTCATAATATCATATTTAATCCAATGTAAGAGGTGACTTTGCTATTTGCCTAAATACCTGATTCTTTTAGAATACCACACAACTGGATGAATATTCAGTGCCTTTGATTTCCCCTTGTGTTTTGGGCTAAAAACAAATTTCTTCCTCCTTTTTTTAAAATTGTTTTCTGAATTTTTACTTGGTTACTTTATTTTTTTTTAATGGAGCTGTGGCAAAAAATAACTAGAAGCACAGGAATTGCCTCCTTTGCACAGCTCATTGCATCAGAATTTTCTCCTAATCTTTGCCTCTCCACTACAGTTTTGTTTGGCATCTTATGCGTGAAATGTGCACTTTGCATGAAATATATACTTGCAGATTCTATTTTACTTTTGTCCTTTGTGTTATTTTAGTATTCACTGTGTCTTTGGTCTCTTTACATAGATGGAAAAATCCCCACTGTATATTTTTAATTATTTTATTAAAAGTGCCGATATGATTAACCTCTCTAGGTTTGGACTAGGGATCAAGATGTTCTGAAGTCAGTGATATATGTCTGGAAACTGGTTATTTAGACCCTTAGTTCAGATACAAGCCAGTGCTTGTTTGCACCTATAAAGCTCCATTTGCCTTGGAGGGCTAGCACTGAGGATATCTGAGCTCTTCTAGTGCTCCAAGGTCCCACTGCCATGCATACTATGCAGCTCTGGAGGTGGAGAAGGAAATAGCGACAATGACACTGTTTTCAAAAGTAATGGGTTGTTAAAATATGGTTTAGGGAAAGCTTCAGGAAAGTCACTGTCTCCCTGATACTTCGTCGAACTGTACTCCTGCCCTGGACTAGGAGAACTAGAAGTTCTACTCCTCTTATATTGTTAGATCCACGATATCAACCAGTGCATTTCGTTTTCACCACAGAATTCAGTTTCCATCATTTCACTCCGAGACAGTGAGAAGGTATATTTGTGACACTACGCTGAGGTTTTAAAGAGGGAGGTACTAGATGAAGGGGCTAAGAGGGATCCCAGAAAGAGGATTCATTTGAGCAATTATACTGTGCCAGGCACTGTGGGTCAAGCCAATGCTCTCAAAGGTGAAAAGCAAATGGATTAGTCTAGTGCCCCTTGTCTGTACATCCATAACCATCACACCAGATATCAGCATCTCTACATTTAAGGTGAAACATTCTGGGTACAGTTTCTTCCAGTCCCTGAAATGACATCCAGTGTCTCCTCTAGCAGTTTTTAACAAAAGCTCTTGGGACTCAGAGCATCTTTTTTTCCTTATAAAGCAGGGAACATTCATCCTACATCTTTCAAATCAATACCAAGGCAGCAGGGTGATCTGCATACAAATCGACTTGCAAATTTACACCCTGTCTTACTCTGCCAACAGGATTAAAAATCGTTCATGAAACAACAGCTCCCTGTAATCACATCCAGCCAGATTTCAATAATAACTCAGGCATATAAAAGCCTCTTGGTTTCATATGCATTAAAAATAGTTTCTTCTCATTTTCTACCTATTCCTTAGATAGTAACTTCCCATTTTCTTGAAAGCTTTCTGCTCTGTAAGTGTTTTATCATCCATGCTCCAAAAACCCTATTTACTGACTGACTGGAAAGATTTTTCCTATTAACCAAAAGAAAAGATGATTGTTTATACCCCAATCTGATAGCAGGCAGGATTTGGGAAAAAACCTGAGTCATCATCACCACAGATCACAGCCACTATTGCCAAATTGTCACTAAATTTTGATGTACAATGAGCCTGGTAGTTATAATTCTGCTCTCTATGGACAGTTGTCTATTTCAGAAAAGCCATCAGTATCCTATTTAAAATCTTATGAACAATAGTCAATCTTTAGTAAGCAAAGCAGTTAGACTTCTTCACTGGACACCTTTGATTTCTGCTTCAGATTATGATGTGACTATAATTAAATGTAGTGCCTGCTGTCTATTATTACACTACATTTGTTCTGCTTGACAGATCTATCTTCATACAGTGTCATTTTCAATTATTATGAAAATAGCCAGAGTAGAGAAAAGGGGCATTTCTTGTAAATTGAAACAAGACATAAATGCAAAAAAACATACTTCATCCTGCAGTTCCTTTTGTTCAGGAGAGCTGAGACAGAACTTGGGAGCTGTGAACAATTTTTGTCTCTCAATGACAGGGCTGTGAAAGACTGATACCAGTGGGAGTTCTTGATCACCTCATGGGGACGATCTGTCACCATTTGTCAAGGGCAATTCTTGCATTCACAGCTTTAGAAAGAGTAGTTACAGACTGCAGGTATAATAGGATGCAGGAGTTTGGAGGGCAAAGAAAGGTTCTTGGCAAACATACTTAATAATCACTGCAGACTGAATTCAGTCTAAAGTGCCTGAAACCTATTTGTATCTTTTTAGTCACATAACCACTTCAGTGCTCAGAGCACAGATCTGAAACTTAGCCCAAACTGCCCGCAAAAGTGAAAGGATAAAAAAAGCTACAGTGTCTCTGTATTATTTTGTATCACATCACTTTCTATTATGCAAACATACTTATTAATAAAGCATTCTGGAAAAGCACTACTGTTAATTTTTCTTCTATTCTGTTCATATTAGAAGGGTAACACATTGGCAATCACAGGAGAAAGTATGCAAGGAGAGAGGAATAGACTGAGTTGCTGAGCACGAGACTCAATAACCCCAGCTAGTCACCTTCCATGCAGCAGGGGGGATCACAGTCATTTGGTTTCCTTTGTGCAGATAGTAAAACTGGCCTTAGTACTCATCATATATAATGTGCAAAAGGCACAATGCCTGTGCTTCTTGAGTATTTTATGAAGAATATTTCTTGTAAACATCCAAATTCAAAGTAGTTTGAAACAGTAAAATGGATATGAAAGCAACCACAAAGTGGTTGCTTTTCCATTACATGTACTGCTGCCTGCAGGCCGGGAGGCAGAGTTTCTTAGTCCTTCCATTACATCCATTGTCATTACTTCATAATGCTACTATTTATATTTGCTGCTTCAACAGTGAGCAGTTGGACTGCTGCAGGCATGGGAAGAAGAGATAATGGGCTGTGTAAATTGAAATAGTGGGCTGTGTAAGTTAGGGCTGAGAGTTGTAGTGAGTGAGCTGCTCTTAGAGCTGCTGGAGAGATGGGTTCCAGAGAGAGAGTACAGAAATTACTGGTGCTGCTGGGAAGAAGTACTCCATGCAACATCACTACCTCTAAACATCATCTGATCCTACTTCTGGCATCAGGAACCAGTTCTGGGGCTGGCAAAAGGCATTACAAAGTAAACGGCTGGAATGTGACTATTTGCTGCTCTCAGTGTTCTGCTGTCCTCACCCACAGCCTACTTTGCTTTTGTCTAAGGCCTTGTGCTCATCAGTCTCCATATGATAGATCAACTCAGAGAATTAGCAGTGGTCAAGAACAGCATCTGATTGGCTTGGTAGACAGTACATTGCTTTAGTCACTTAAAACTGAAGAATACTTTAATGCTAAAACGAATCTGACTCAAGAGGCCATGTCAGGAATAAGACCTCAAACTTGCAGGTCTTAGACCTGTCAGGATCTGGGGTGCAGAAGTCATAGAAGAGTTTCAATGCAGTTTGGCAGAAACATGAAAGAAATAAATCAGGCAGCACTAAGTCAACTATTCACTTCCTGTATTTGAAGGAATAATAAAACGATTTCTATGTTTCTATGTCCTGCAACCCCTTTAATTCTTGTAATTTATACAATGACCTCTTAAGCTGTCAGAATCAAAATAGACAGCTTAATGCATGGCTCTAGAACTTGCCTGAAAAGACCCTCAGCACAGTCAATCAAAAACATCCTGTTAATGAGGCCATCACACCTCATTTTGATTTTCTGACTCTAGCTACTCATTCAGATGGGCTCCTTACAAACTGAGCTCACTTAAAATGAAGACTTTCCCCTTCAAGGGAATTAAATTTATTTTTTTGCACCTAAAAAACTGCTTTTCATGTTTGCAACATCTGCTCTTTACATACTTGCATGGTCAAAATACACAAACCAGACTTACTCTCATGACCAAGCTATATTTGCATAATATAATTTTTTCTCATGGAAAAGGGCTATGACTATAAGTATGTTGTGGCAAACACAAACTCAGTGCTGATAATCCTGTCACACATGCACTAGGAACACCTATCCAACACTCAATGTACAACAAACCACAAACAGAGACTTCCTGTTTCTACACTGATATTGTTTGAAGATACTGAAGCAGAGAGATAATACAGAAATGCACAGTGCTGTGCAGGTCTATGGATGTACATGGCTGCATCACTGGCCTTTAACTGAGATCAGCTTTTACTGGTAGAGCTGGAGGCAAAGCTATTGGGATGGTAAGGACGACAAGTTGTGAAATGTCGCAAGCTCTTCTCTGAAAACTGTCTCTACTAATAAATCCTAACATACTTGGTAAGTTCCAAGGGCATTGAAACTTGTTTGCTAGAGTGGCACCTGGCATTTGGCCCATGCCAAACAGCAGTTTCCCAAATTATTGCTGGGCTTTGCTTATTCTCAATAAGCAGTTTGCATGCAGCACCCTCTTTCAGAATCTAACAGAATAAACCAGCATAGGCATGGGAAATCCTTTGCCAGTTGGCATCAGTATCTGGGAACGTTCCTGCACACATTATATTTACTACCATGAGATGTAGCTGGAATGCCTGATGCATTGGATGTGTTAATGAGGAACTGCAGTCCTCTTGGTCCCTTGACACTCCTGCACCTGTTTAATGCAAGCATTGTGGATCATAAAAGATAAACTGTAAAGAAAATAAGGCAGAGAAATGAAATTATTTCTGAACTATTTGGCTTGCACTGTTTAATAAACTCAGTTTTGGAGTATCTGCTTTGGTGCTCATTTTCTGACCAGAAGGATGTAAACATAAAATCCAGGCTCTTCAGGAACACATGTCATAAGACATTAAGGAGGCAACTGGACAAATGCCAAAAAAATATCTATAGGACTCCAACAGATATGCCAAATAGTAAACATCACACTTGCTAGTCACAGTCCCTTGAGCCATCATGTAATTGGGCTGCAAAATTGTGTGCCAGTGCTAAAGGCTGTGCCCACTTCCTCAGCTATCACCAGGCAGCAAAAGGAGGGAAATTTGTCTTATGTTCTCCCCATACTGGACTATTGCTGAGCTCTAAATTATCACCTATTGACAAGGTGGGTCATGTCTAACAGCTACAGGGGCTGGTGCTTGACATTGGAAGCTCTGTCTCAATTCAGAGTTATACAGAAATGATGGTTACCACAGGAGGAAATATTATTGTTAGACA